GAGAGAGAGAGAGAACAAGTTGGGGAGGGACAGAGAGAGAGGAGACACAGAATCCGCAGCAGGCTCCAGGCTGTCAGCACAGAGCCCAGCATGGGGCCCAAACCCATGAACTACGAGATCATGACCTGAGCTGAAGTCAGACACTCAATCGACTGAGCCACCCAGGCGCCCCGCTCCCCCATCTTTAGGTCGATCACTTTCAGTTGCTTTCTCTCCGAGGACAGAGAATTTAGCTCGTCGTACTCCCCCCGCATCCCTCCTGCCCTGTTTCCTGTCACAGGACTGTCACTGTTGTTATCTCCAGTAGCGACCTGCGTGACCTTTAGTACCATAGTCCACACCACCTCATCGCTCACAGACTGTGTCTCTGGACACTGGTCTTGCATCAGGCCCGACTCGCCGCTCAGCTCTTTCCTCTCTTGGCTTTCACTCTTTATTGACACAATTCACAGTTTCAGTGGAATTAATCAGTAATCAGAAGCATGCCATCAGTGCCGATGAAGTGACAGGAACGTAGGTTTAGGTGAGGGACGGAGGCATTTGGATGTGGATTGGCAGGAATGGCATGGACTCCCGGAGCCATAACATATGGATTTGAGTCCTTCCCTGCCATCAGCTACCCGCTGATCTCTGGCAGAGCATTTCCCCTCTGCCGCTCTGTTTCCCGTCCGTGAGATGCATGGCTTAGAGGACGTGGACAGCCCTGGTGTTCCCCCGGAGTTCCCAGCTCCTAGGAAGCGTCTCTTCTGAGTCCTGCCGTGGGCTCATTCTCAGCGTGTGGCTGTCCAGGAGCCTGGGGTTCAGATGGAGCTTTCCTCGCGGGGTTGGGGCTCCTCGTCTGGGAGCCCAGGTGGAGGAGCAGACAGAGGCCTCTGTAGTCGATCCTGGAAGATTGGGGGGGGTGGGGTACATCCACTTGGCAGGAATTGCCACATCTTTCATGCTGTGTCATGTGTCCCCCTGGAAGGCATGAGCTCACTTCCATTCACGTGTTCAGCAAGAATGGCTGATAGCTTGCACGGGGCACTGAGGCAGTGACCGTGTTTCCCACATTGCTCTCTCTAGGCATCAGGTTAACAGAATCTTTAGCGATGACACCTGCTTCAGCAGTATCTGGCCTCTACTTCTCCAATTTGAAGTCCAAATACTTTGCAGTGGGGAAAATTTCCAAGGACCAGGTGAGTTAGCTGTTCCATTGTGTATGGCTTCCCTAGATGCCAGTCCTGTTTTAAATGGAACTGTGGAACTGGTTTTATTTCACGTGGGAATGAGAATGCTAAGGGGAGAAAGTGCGACGAAATTTACGCCAGTCAACGTCTTAAATTGTTTCAGCCCATTACCCCGATTCTCGCCCTCCCACTTACACATAGACACCCCCACGCCCAGCACTCATACCCACAGTCCAGCCAGCCTCCAAGCACCACATACGCACTGCATGTTGTTTTCTGCCCAGAGAATAAGGCGACTCGGTGAACAGATGGATCTCCATCCCCTATTAAGACAAGAAGTGGAAGGCATTTAATGTTTCTTGGCAAATCCCCTGGAAACTTCACTTCAGAAGGTCTTATTGTTGTGGTTTGATACGCTGCTTTTAATCTTTTGCAGATTGAGGATTATGCTTTGAGGAAGAACATGTCTGTGGCTGACGTTGAGAAATGGCTGGGACCCATCTTGGGATACGATACAGAGTAACTTCTATTTAAAAATCCTTTTTTGCACTTGATCCTCAAGGAAATACAATCTAGAGTGCCTTTAAAAACAACAGTAGCAACAGACAAGCGGGTCTCAGGTCTCTGTCCTGTGACATTTGCTCTGCCTCAGGGTTCGGAAGATTGACTGGTGGGACCGTGTGGAGGATCAGGGCCTTCCTGTGTCCTTGGGAAACCAGGGTCTTTTCCGGAGACCTTGACTGAGGAGCAGTAAGCTGGTGTCTCCGGCGGTGTCCCTGGTCTTTCAGGGACAAGGATAAGCTGGAGATAGAGGTCTTTTGCATTTCAAAGCAAGGCAGTGTGCTTGTTTCATTTTTACTTTGGGTTGAGAAGGCCTCTTATTTTTTTCTTTCTCTTGCTCTCTTAGAAAAGAGCCTGAAGCTTAGCTGAATAGAGAAATGTATAGAAGAATGTGACCCCGGGGCAAAATCACGCTGTGTGAAGTGGGGTGTTTTAATCTAGAAGGGTGCAGCGATGAACTGACAGGGAACGGAGTGCGACCCTGTGCTCTATCAGGAAGACCCCATCTTCAAAAGTCGTGATTACCGTGGGTGCAGAGTCCCCTTGGCAGGAGGCCGTTGACTAGCCGTTTGCCCCTGTGTGGCCAAATATGGTGGGTTCTCCTACCATTTCCGTCTTCTAATTCCTCATTCCCTTGCCCCGAGGGGGAAGAGGAGATAGGGAGAGAGCGGGGCTGCTGAGGGTCCTAACATCTCAGAGCTGTTTTCTGGAGCGGAGCAGGCTTCCTGGCCGAGGCGTCCTGGGTGGAGTTGGATGGGTGAAGAGCATTGTGATCCCACTCAGTCTGTCTGCACTAACCCAGCTGCAGGTTCCTGCAGTGTAGACCTGGCCCCCCAGGGCTGCTTGCTGAACGGTAGCCTCTGTAGGGTTCAGGGGGTAGTGCCCCGAGCTCGGCACGCAGTGAGTCCTCCTGGAAAGGGTGGCAGATTGACGGAGGTGGAAAGACACTGGGGAGTGCGGGTGGTGATGGCGTTGCTGACTGCACGAGAGGCCCTTTCTGGGATTAGAACCCCGTTTACACTGCGGCTGGGACAGAGAGCCTGCCTCCCGGGTCCCGTGAACCTTGGTACCCATTTTCTGTGTGACGGCCACCTCCCTCGCTCTCGGGGGGTGAGCCGGCCCCGCTTCCCAAAGCAGCTCCGTCAGAAGTGCATTCAAGGACCTTGGAGGTGAAGGGGGAACCGTAGGAAACGAGACCCCCATGCATGTGCAGCGTGCACACGCGGACGCACAGAGCCGCCCCCCTGTCAGCCGTCCCGGGCCCACGAGGCAAAAACAGCCATGGACTTTACGTGCACTTGGTCTCTTGAGTGAGCATGGGACTCAGTTTCCCCAGGCACTTAGCTGGAGGACTTACTTTCGGTTCCATAGCAGGTGTGTCATTCTTGGTACATTCTTCTGTGAGAAAGAAGACCTCCTCCGGGTAGTTGAGTGTATTTTGTCAGAGTTACAGTTGTTAAGTCTCCTGATTTCATTCAATATTTGCCATCTCTTCCCTCAGCTGGTTATGTGGTAGAATGGCTTCCTTTTTTGTTGTTGTTGTAGTTAAGTTTATTTATTTATTTCGAGAGAGAGAGGGTGAGCGAGTGTGAGTGAGGAAGGCCAAGAGCGTGACCCAAGCTGAGAGACGCTTAACCGACTGCCCTTAGAATGGCTTCCTTAAATGTACTGTTTATATAATCCCATGACGGATGCCTTTTTTCTTGACACAGAAACAATTGGTGCGAGTTCGAGTGCCTGTAGGTTCGTGAAAGAATATAAGCTACAAGTTGAAAACCCCTCCCTTCATAAATGTCAGGCGACTTCGAAGGCAGGGAGGTGGCCGTTCTGAATGCGGGGTCTTTTCCGTGTCGGTGCCTGCATGTCCAGAACCTCTTGTCACCATCTGTGGGCGTCGTCATTTCACTGAGGATCCCACCTTATTTTTCCCTCTAAAGAGGCCCTTGCTTGGAATCTTCCCCTCTCTCTGCTGCACTGAGGAGTCTGGTTTGTCAGGTGGTGGTTGAGAGCAGGTTTATGAAACCCCACTTCCTCCTTTGAGATATTCTCCGACATCCTGTCTACATTTATGGTTGACTTCACATAGAGAGTAGTCCGCCTTCTTTCTGGTTCTCTCTGGTATGCGTTCGACATATGGTGTCTCCCACCTTCTCCCCGCTTCTCTCCTGAATCCAGTGAGGTTAGGTTTTTACCTGCCTCTCCTGGCATCAGTGACCTCTCGGGTCAGACCCAGTGGCCTTCCCAGTGATTCTCATCCCTGTGGGCTTGAACAATACAGACCACTTCCTTCAACACCCTCCTTTCCCTGCTTCCCCCCTTGACACCACTCTCTGATTCTCCTTCTGTGTCCCTGATCACTTCTCAGCCATTTTCCTAGTTTTTCTTCCTCTGCCCATTTAGACCCTGGTGTCCTCAAGGGCCAGTCATCAGCGACCTTCTTCACCGGTATAGTTTCAGTGGACGATCTCACGGACTCAGTGTCTCCATCTAAGCTTGTCCTGCGGAGCACAGCATACATCCCACAGCCCCTTCCAGGAGGGCATACAGACACCTCAGACCCAGAGTGTCTCACCTCCTCACAAATGGTGAGATTCAGTCATGAACAATAGTGCTGTCGCTCCAGCAAGAGCCCTCACACTCAGCCCATATCGCCTTTGGCTTAGACTGTAGCAGGTGTCTGAGAAGTTAGCACACAAAAGACACCGAGCCTACTTTAGTGGGGATGGTGGTAGAGATATCTCAGGAAGGCGATGCTTAGATGAAGGCCTGATCTGGGACCTGTGGGATAAAGGTGAAGACGCAAGGTAGGAACAAGTGAAGAGCCGTCTTTGTTTGTGAACAGGAATATTAATGCGGTATAGGTATCACATCTCTCCAGATTGGTCTATAGGTTCAATGCCATTTCCAACAGAAATTACAGTAGCGGTTTTGTCACATGGGACAGGCAGATATTTAAATTTATGTGGAAAAAGCAAAGCAGTCAGAATGACTGGATGCTTCTAAACGGGAAGCAGAGTTTACGAGGTAGTGAGTTTTGTCGTACGTGGTGCCGAGATGGGCATGCTGAGCAGTGCTGTGAAATACGGAGCCTGGAAAATAACCCTTGTGCGTGTTGACCTTCGAGACAAGGCGGTGGTGGCTGGGTGCATAAGAGACGGGCAGGATGACTCCATCTGTGGCGCAGAGCTGTGCCTACCGTATGGAAAGAGCGAAATTTGATTTCTGCCTCATGTGTTGTCTAACAACCAATTCCAAACATATTAAGGTCTTAAATACAAAAAAAAAAAAAAAAAAAAAAAAAAAAAAATAGCGTTTACACGAGCAAACCTTAGGGCAGGAAAGAATCCCCTGAGACATAAAGGACTAATCACAAAAGAGAAGATGATTGTATCAACTTTTTAAAATAAAGACTTACATTAAGCTGATAAACCACTTAAAGTAGGGAAAAGACAAGTCCTGACTAGAGGTGTTTATAATACAATTAATTGACAAAGGATTAGCAAGCAGAATATATGGAGGGTGCCTATTTAAGAAACAAACCCAACAGAAAATTAGACGGAAAAGGCATTTCACAGAAGAGGAAGTACACATGCATGGCTTATAAATAAGTAGAAGGATGTTCCACAGCAATGGAGATCAGGGAAATACGAATTAAGACCACAGCAAGATCCTATTTTGCATCCATAACATTTGCAGAACTTGAGCTTGACAGGACCAGGTGCCAGAGAAGTTCTGTGAGAGCTCGCATGGTGTGAGCGCATGAACACCTCTGCCTCCCAGAGTTGAACCCTTGCATGCCCTAGGATCTGGCTTATGGCTCGGACTGCCCCTCGGAGATCCAACAAACTCTTACCTGTCCCAGGAGGTGTGTGCAAGAGTGTTCATAGTAACACCTTTGTGGTGGTCAATAACCAAAAACACCAAAACGTCCATCTGTCTGTAGGAGAATGGTTAAGTAAACTAGGTATAGTCACGCTAAAGGGTATTGTTCAGTAGTAAAAGCAGGTGAACTGCAGCTGTACCTGACAATCAGAGTGAATCTCAGGAAATATTACCAAAAAAAAAAAAAAAAAAAAAAAAAAAAAAAAAAGCAAGCTCCAGGAGACCATATATGCTATGATGCTATTTTTATTGAGCTCAAAACCAAGCAAAACCAAAGAGTGTATTGTCTAAGCACATGTAAACAGTAAAACTATGTTGTAAATGAAGAAAAAACAAAATTCAGCAGAGTAATTAACCCTGAGAGAGGGAAGCCGAGCAGATCTCAGAGGGACACATCTCTGGATGCAGGTTGTTAGTCAGATTCTGATTCTTGGGTTGTATGGTAGTCGATGGCTGTTTGTGATATTCTTTATAATGTAACAGTTTTATATTTGTGAAATGTATTTAATGCATGTATTAAGTGTATTATAAAATAATAAAGACAAAATAATAAAAATCTGGAATGGTGACTTTTTACATAATACTGCGTATTTGTTAAAGCTGTTTTTTCAGAAAGGAAGGACCTTTCGGCCAGAGTGAACAGCCATGCAGAGGCAGGGGTGGAGGGGGTTTATGTGCACGCAGTGGTGCCGTGGGGCAAGGGCCAGCGTGGCTTCCCATGGCGGGCTTTGGTGAACAAGTGCACGGCAGCATCATTTGCTGTGGCACAGGATGGAGGGCGGGGGAAACAAATTTGACATTGAACACAGGCACTTCGATGCGTGCCTTTGGAATTTAGGAAGACTGGCCTTAGGATTGGGAGGCTTTGGTATGGAGGTGGAGTTAAGGCTGCAATCATGGACAGGCAGCTTGTGGAGAATGTGAGGAACCCGAGATAGGGCTGGACTCCAGGACCAGGAGCCACAGGCACAGCTGTGGCATTTTAGGGGCTGCAGGGACCATTGGGGGACCGTGTTGGGTTGATGATTGAATGGGAGGTGAGGAAGCTCTCTGTTATTTAAAGAACATTGGGTGTTGAGT